AAACTCTCTTCCGGTTACATCGCTTATCGCGATCCAAAAACTCGTGTAATCCGACATGGAACCTCGATGGAGCCGTCCACTCGGTAAATTCCGTTGCACCACGCTCCGTCGCTCTATGACGTCGACATTACAATCGATTATCCCGGATTTCGTCGGATTTTATGTTATGGCACTATCAAACGTGTGAATCCATAATCTCTAGATATTATAGCCAGCGTGGATAATTTTTTTTGATATTATCTCTAATGACGAACATATAAGAAACTAATATATTCTAACAGTAAAGATTAATTAAAAGTATTATTGCTAATGTTTAATTAACTTTCTACTCGCTACTCGCTACTGTTGGATTTTAAAGTTAAAGACACAATCGATTTTTTTATTATGAATTTTGATAGTTAAATTTAAAAAATAAATTAAATATCATCCAACTTCTGTGATAATAAAAACGGCAAAAACTTAAAAACTTATTAAAAACTTCCACAAGTATATAAATTTTTTCAGTATACAGTCTGAAATAATATATTATATGTAAAATTCTGTATTGAAGTTCGAAGACTCAAGTTGCAGACGAAGGGTGAAAATTTCACATTGATGACGGAGGATGAAATTTGAACAGATCGTCGCGTAATAAACTCAGAGAGAAAGAGAGAGAGAGAGAACCGATATTGCGCTTGTAATATTTACGATTCGACCGAATAACGACAAAAATCCGGACGAAGCGAGAAGCGTAATGGTTACCGCGGCGTCAATTAAAGCTGGCTAAAAAAGTCGCGAGGGAACACGTGAAATATCGATCATCCGCCTTTTACGAGGGTGCGCTCGTAAAAGTGGAAATTAATGGACAGAACAGGTGCACGCGAGTGACTCGAAGATCTCCGCTTTCGAAGGAGCGGCGCGGTCTCGACAGAGACGCGTGGAAACAACGTACGCGGATAAAAAACTGTTACGATCGCTCTTTTTACAGCTTTACAATGGGGTTCGACGTGAATCGACACACCGACGAAACTTTATGCCCATATCGGAATGATTTATCGAACGGCGCGAGACGCGTCGCGCCACGCCGCGCCGATATTCGATACGTATCCAGATTCTCTCGCTTTTCCTCCTCTTCTCTCTCTCTTTCTCTCTCTCTCTCTCTCTCTCTCTCTCTCTCTCTCTCTCTCTCCCTCTCTGTTTCTCTCTCATTCATTCTGTTCACTTTGTGAGGAAAACGTGAAAAAAGAATGCACCGATAAGGGTTATACAGTGGAGAGAGAGAGAGAGAGAGAGAGAGAGAGACGAAGCAGAGAATGCGCCGATAGCCCGTTTAAATATATCGCGTGCGAAATATATCTTGCTGATAAAACTTAGCGACAGGAGAAAATAAACTTCGTAAAGGACGGACGGTTCTTAACTTGGCGAAAAATGGTCTTCTCGCGAGACTTGACAGATCTTGACGAAGTTCGCAGAAGACGATCTTTCACGCTTCACTCCAAGCGCAGAAGCATTCTTGAAATAATCACGTTCACTTCGGCACTTTCTCGAAACGCGAGACAATTATGTGCACGCGAGAAACTTCTTTCAAACTCTTGAGAATCTCCGATTATATTTTTTATTTGAGTTCGATACGATACGACAGTTCTCTTTTTCTTATATTACATTCGCAGATAGATGTATTTATTGTGACATATTTCTTTTCAGTTCTTCGTTACTATGATAGTTATAATCAAACAAAAAAAAGAGGAATTGATAGACTCAACTTATGAGGTTCATTAAATTTTTATTTAACTCTTCAGAATCTTTGTATGAAATTTATTATATAATATATTATTATTATACATATTATTATACATATTATTATAATACATTATTATACATATTATTATAGTATACAATAAGTATTATATACATATATTAATATATTATATATACAATGAATTCGTAAGATTCTGAAGAGTTAATTATTTAAATAAAACGTACAGAATTTTTTAGTAAAAAAAGAAACTGTTTTCATATTTAAATAAAAATTAGAAATTATACATTATTATTTTGTACAATGTACATTATTATTTTAATTTCTGATTTATTGTAGATTAAATATAGAAGAAAAGATTAATATTTCTTTTCTCACTAAAAAATATTTCTAAATAGCGTTATATTTGTTTTACACTATGACAAAGTTTTATATCTCATCTATTTCTATTTATGTAAAAAAATTTAAACATCCTTTAAATAAAATATTCGCATTCGATTAAAAGTTACGCATTATAATCACTATACATATAATGACTATAGAAGTTGGGCATTAAAAGAATCAGCGTTGTTATTAAAAGAACAGTCGTTGACGACAGAGCGTGATCGCATCGCAAACATATAAATTAATGAGCGAATTAATCTGCCAGCGTCGAGGGGGTAAAAATTCCCGTTTACTCATGTTATCTTGGCGAGACATACGTATGGAACGTCGCATTGTACGGTCGTCAGCCTCGTTCACGACAAGTCTGCGTTTAATTTTTCGCTCGAGTCTAGACCGATTCTTCGTTCTCCTTTTCTACACTATGGAGAGAAATCTATCTATCAAATAAAGCAGAATACTAAATATTGATTTGTCAAAAATATCGGAAAAATTGACTTTAAATTTTATACATTTTAAATTTCAAAAAAAGTGATTTTACATTTTATAATAAATTTATTTATTTATTATTATTACATTTATGGCATATTGACATAAACATAACATTTTACCAGACAATAACGATTCGCGCTCATAATCGATGCATCACGCTATAAAATAAAATACGATAAACCACACGAATTCTGCAGCGACAAATTTTTAACTTCCGAGCAGCCCGATCGCCTTTAAATCCACAGAGGCAGATAATAACGAGATTTAGCAGTGGCCCGAAAAATTTAACAATTTTACGTGTCGTAAAACTCGAGATGGTGATCGCACTAAAGTTGAAACCGCGATAAAGTCAAAATTTAAGAAAGCAGAGCACCTGTTCAGGAACATGGACTCATCGTCGATTGCTTGTCTCTCCCTCATCTCAATATGACGGAATTTTTATGTTCGATTAAGTTCACTCTGCCAAGATCGAAATGGCGCTGGGCGCGCGCACGTAATGGCCTCGTAAAATACGAAAATGAATTTCATATTTTTCATATTTTCTCATTGCCCATCATCGTTTACCACTGTAAACTACTAAGCAGCTGTTACAACTGCGATCGCAGATTTTCCCATTTTCACTCACCCTTATTGCTTCGTGCGAAATAATTATGAAAATTAATAATGAGTTACTCGCCATTAATTTCATTTTTACACATTTTTACTTGATTTTTCCTAAAGCATTCATTAACATGTAAATTTTTTACATACAATAATAAAATTTAAAAAATAAAATTTCTTAAAAGACTTCGGAAAAAAAAGATTACTGACGGCATCAAATATTAATATTATATATGTTGTTTAACTCTTTGAAGGATTGTGATATAAAGACCTCCTTTCTTGTTTGAATGTGCATGGTGAACATTATTCATCCCATCTTTATAATAAATTATGAAATTACTAGAAACACAGAAATTTATGTGTTTGAATATATCTCTTCTTATAATTAATTACATAAATGAAATTTATTTTTTTTTATTATTTTGTGTAATATTGTACTCTCTCTCTCTCTCTCTCTCTCTCTCTCTCTCTCTCTCTCTCTCT